GAGACCCTGTCTCAAAATAAAAACTAAAAAGGGCTGGGGATAGAGCTCAGTTAGAGTGTCCCTGAGTTCAAGCCCCGGTGTGTGTGTGGGGGAAGCAGCTTATCTTTGTTAGTGTGTACTATAACTTTTTTAGGGTCTCTTAAAAAAAATAGATTTTGAAGTTTGTTTTTTCCTAGATTCTGTATTGCCTGTGGTTTGAATGTTTCCCTAAAAATCATGTGTTGGAAATTTAATCCTCAGAGCAACAGTGTTGAGAGTTGAGGCCCTGATGGGGAAGAATTTCAATCATGAGCGCCCCATCCTCAGGAATGGACTCATGCTGATTATAAAACTGCTTGAGGCTGGAAGTTTGAGCTCTTGCTTACTCTCTCCCTTTCTTTGCTCTTCTGCCAGGAGGTGACACACCAAGAAGGCCCTTGCCTAATACCTTGGTCTTAGCCATGAATTAATACATTTCTGTTCATGATAAGCTACCCAATCTGTGGTATTGTGTTATAGCCTCACAACATGGTTGTGCTAAGACACCTTGTTTCTTTGGGAGTCCCTCTGTTTATTATTTTTTAATTTTTTTTGTAGCTTTGGGGATTGAACCCAGGGTCCTGTGCGTCTTTTTTGGAGTCCATTCTCCTATGTTTGGTAATCCTGTATATTCTCTTCAGATTTTAGAATGAGGCACAAGTTGGTAGGAAGCTCTGAGTGTGAGTGAGGGGCAGCTCTTTGGCTGTACTGCTAACAGTCTCACTAGGGGGTTCTCTGTACTTGGAAGTAGATCGGTTTCTCCTGAGAAGAATCCTCGAATCTTTCTCCTGGAGCATACAGGTCCCATTGCTGATGTTCTGGGAACAAAGTAGACTCGTGTGTGGTCTCAGGAGACTCCACCTATCACAGCACCCATCAGCCATCTGATCACTTTCCAGCATATCTTCACACTGTGTTGTAAACCCAGGGAGCCAGGGACCACGTCTGTCTTTTTCACATCTCCCCAGAACCCAGCGCAATCTGATTCATAACAGACACTGTAATGTGTTTGCAGAATGAATAAACAGCGAGTGGAGAGCTCAGGTGCTGGCTCAGGTGAACTACAGGGTAATATTAGTTATCGTTAGGACACAGGGACCTTCACAAATCTACCCAGAGCATTGGAGATTTTGCCTGTAAATTTAGTAGTGCCATTTGCCATCTCCACAGTCCACGTACAGTTGATAGCTCTGAATGTCGTGATTCTGATTCTCTCAGATCTCATTTGCTCCTTGTGGTGGCAAAAGCACTGCAAATTCAATGAGCAAGAGGCATGCCCCTGGATTATGAAAACTGTCACTTGTTCTTGGTTCCTATGCTTGCAGACATTCTAGTAATTACCCAAGGTTGGAATGGGCTTTAAGTTCCTTTAGTGGGTTGGGTACAGGGGATTGAACTCAGGGATACTTGAGCACTAAGCCACATGCCCAGACCTATTTTATATTTTATTTAGAGACAGGCTCTCGCTTTTGCTGAGGCTGTCTTTGAACTTGCGATCCTCCTGTCTCAGCCGCTGGGATTACAGGCATGCGTCACCGTGCCTGGCTGGCTTTAAGTTCTTTAAGTTCCCTTCACGTGGTGAAATCTGCTCTGCTCCTTTAGGGGAACAGAAGCTGGTCCTTGGGGGTGGAGCCTTAATGGACACAGGAACTGGCAACAAGCACCTTGAGCTCCACCATGCTGGGAGGAACATGCAGAAAGGAGGCCAGGGCAGAAAGGACACAGACATATGTGAGAGCAGGGAGACAGCCACCCTCCAAGGAATAAAGAGGTGCCCCTATAGGGCAGAGGAAGGAGGAGATTGTGAGGAACTATGTACTAGTCAGGTGGGCTCAGGCTGAACTGATAAAGCAGAGGCTTGACTATACCGTGGCTGACATTGATAGCCCTGTCAGTCCAGAAATGAGCAGTCCAGGCAGGTGGTGTGTCTTTGCTCTATGAATCTGATTTAGACCCCAGAAACCATTTTTTTAAATTCTTTCATTCCTTAGATATTTTTTCTTTGACTTCATGATCATAGCTGGGCTGTTGGCATGTTAGCATTTCCACATAGTGGAAGAGGGAAAAAGTGGCAGCAGAAGGCATCTTTTTCCAGAGTGACATGATAGATGCACACATCACTTATATTTCTTTACAAAAACTTAGCCAATTAGTAGAAATAGAGGTTGGAATATGAATGGCCACATACCCAGATAAAACTCTGCCACTATGGAAGAAGGACACAGTTTTGCGCTGGGCGTGGTGGCTCATGCCTGTAATCCCAGGGGCTTGGGAGGCTGACAAAGAAGGATTGAGAGTTCAAAGCTAGTCTCAGCAAGGGCAAGGCACTAAACAACTTAGTGAGACCCTGTCTCTAAAATATAAAATAGGGCTGGGGATGTGGCTCAGTGGTCAAGTGCCCTGAGTTCAATTCCTGGTATTAAAAAAACAGAGAGAGAGAGAGAGAGACAGTTTTGGAGAACAACTAGTAGTCTGTCTCACTTTTCAAGGAAATAAAAGCAGAGAAGGAAATAAAAGCAGAGAAGGAAGGGCCAAGGATGGTCTCAGTGGCAAATACCCTTACCTGGTTCTGCCCTTTTTTGCATCTGGTGTCGGTATCAGGCAGGGCTCATTCACTTCAGGTATATTTAAAGAAGAACCTAGAGAGCTTTCAGAACTCAAAGCCTTGTGAAGGCAATGAAAGTACTGACACTGAGGACAGTCTAGAGTGAGCACTTTACAGTACATATTATACTTGCATTAAGCACATTACACAAGACCACACAGTGACATCTGACCCCACATTCCTAGACCTCCTCCCCAAGGGGCTGGTCAATTTCTGTACTTAAAGTGGGTTAGAGTACATACGTAGGTTGACCTCAGCTCACATAAACTGGTCAGACAAGAATGACCATTCCTGTCCTAAAGCTCTCCTTATTGGTGGCACAGAGCTTTGTCTTTGTTAACCTTAACATAAGCTGTATATCACTGAACACTTCCTTCTCTAACTGAACTCTTTGGTTTCCTGTTTTTTTTTTTTTTCCTTCATACTGGGGATAGAAACCAGAGGTGCTCTACCACTGAGCTACATCCTCAGCCCTTTCTATTTTTTTTTTTTTTTAATTTTGAGACAGGAACTTGCTAAGTTGCTGAAATTGGCTTCGAACTTCTACCCTTCCTGCCTTAGCTTCTGAAGTGATTGGGATTCTATGCACCACCATGGCCCTCCTTTGTCATATGTCTGTGGGAAATAGTGGTCTTTGGCACCAAGACAATAGAAAGAGACTTAAAATTTTTTTTAATTGTCCATGGATCTTTTATTTATATGCAGTGCTGAGGTTTGAACCCAGGGCCTCATCCATGCCAGGCAAGTGCTCTACCACTGGGCCACTACTCCAGCCCTGGAAAGGGAGTTTTAAAAATTCTTTTCCAGGAAATACCTTTCCTATTTGTAATCCAAACTGAACCTTGCACACTCATTTTTGTAAGATTGTAATGTTATCTAATAACATGCATCCTCTCAAGCAATGTAAGTTTAATACATAACCTCTGTGCTCAAAGCAGGATGAAGTACAGAACTAAGAGAGGCTGGAACAGCAGAGTAATGTGGATTAACAGACCAAGCATACAAATCTTCTGCAATTTGTGTTGATAGTCCAAACTATAAACATAACAAAAAATAGAGTTTCCTTGTTCAGTGTGCCAGACTTTCCAACCTACACATCAGAATGAACTTAGTCTCCCAGAAAAGGCCATGAAAGACGTAGGGGTAACACTGTACACGACCTAAGGCACACAATTCATAAAGGGTTTCTACGAACTCCTGATGTTTTATGTTGGTCAATTTGCATGGTGGAATATGACCTGAAAGACAGCATCTAAACTGGTCATATAGGAATAAAGCATAAACACTAAAAAAGCCTGCTGATCTCTATGTATTAGCAGGACAAGATTTCTTCCTTCCTAGTATAGGAGGTACTTTCCAGTGCCCTATTATGCAAGGAATGGAGGAATTTCCTGAAGAGGCCAGATAAGGTAAAAAACCAGTAAAAGCACCCATCTTTAGATGATGACGGAAGCTCATGATTACTCAGATTTACAATTAGGAACACTGCATGCCCAAAGATAACAATAGTTAGATGTTTACTTCACCAAAGAAAAAAATGACCTACTATTGCCTAACTGACTCCGGTGTCAAAAATAAGTCCTGAATATTTAGTAGAAACTCAAACTTCAAAATATAAGCCAAGTTCCATTTCCTGGAAGAGTCAGGAAAAGGGAAAAATATGATTCATTTATATTTGTTTACTACTTAAAAGTTCTCATTTACACTTTAGGAAAGATAAAATTTGTAGATATAATGGGATATATTCACAATCTATCTATAGAATTCTAATTTTTTTCTGAAGCACAACTGTGTTACTTACCTTTTTGTCCTTGTGACCAAAATACACAACAAGAACAACTTAGAGGAGGAAGTTTATTTTGGCTCTTGTTTCAGAGGTGCATGGTCAGCTTACTCCATTGCTCCCAGCTTGAGGTGAGACAGAACATCATGGCAGAAGGGTGTGGCTGAGAAAAGTTAAGCAGCTCAGCGCAGCTGGGAAGTAGAGTGCAACAGGGGACAGATACCTTGGGGTATCCCCAAGATCATACCCCAGTGACCTTCGTCTTCCAGCCATGCTCCACCTGCCCTCCCAGTAGTCCATTTAGATTATTAGTTCATCAGACGAATTGATCCATCAGTGAGGTCAGAGCCCTCACAATCCAATCTTCTCAACTCTAAACACTGCAGCATTGCCTAACACGTGCTTGGGGGATGTTCCAGATCCAAACCATAACAACCCTGGTACAATCATAGTCACTTCAAAATGGAAAACTTAGATGTATTTTTGTGTATACAAATATACACACACACACACACACACACACACACACACACACACACACATCTTTTTAAAAATCGGGTTTCTTTCAATTAACATATTTATTTCTTTACCCAGGTGCTTTTTTTGAAAAGACGACTCTGAAAAACTTCCAGCAGTTGGATTTGGCAGGAAATTGTGTGAGCAGTGATGGATGGCTTGCCTTCATGAGTGTATTTGAGAATCTTAAGCAATTAGTATTTTTTGACTTCAGTACTGAAGGATTTTTACCAGATGCAGCATTAGTCAGAAAACTTAGCCATGTGTTATCCAAGTTAACTTTTTTGCAAGAAGCTAGGCTTATTGGATGGCAATTTGATGATGATGATGTCAGTGTTATTAAAGGTGCTTTTAAACTAGTAATTGCTTAAATAAAGGGTACCCTAAGCCAATGAGCATTTTAGATCCTTTATTTTCAGCTTGATGGTTTAAAAATCTTGCAAAAGGAGCCAAAGACGATGAGGAAGTGGAAGGGAGTTTAATTTGTTACATGTAAGTTTTGTGTCTCATCCCTCCAACTGGTATTATCAGTAACTTGAAGAAGTCTTGTTCATATTTGGGTTACTCTCAGCCCCAGGAATACTGGGTCACAAAAATTGATATACTGTGTGCATATTTATTTAGTACTGTGCTGGGTATGTAAGAAACTCAACAAATTTTGCCAAATATGATATTTAAATTACCGATAAATATCTATTAAATAAACAAACCAAAATTATCTAAAACTTCATATATGCTCTTTAATTCAAACAATATAAATCAAACAACGTGGAATGTAACTTTCTCATTTAGAAGCAGATCAGACTCCCAAAAAAGAGCAGCGTTCTTGAGTCAAACAAAAACTGGTAATTTACAAGCAGCTAAATCAGAGGCTTGAAAATTAGGTCTTCTCCCAGTAGCTGGAATATTCATTGTATGTAATTCCAACTGTGATTTCAAAAACTAAGAAAGGAAAAATGTATCTCATTCTTTTGTACCCCACAGAAGCAAAGAATACCCTGCCCTAATTTTTTTCTACCTCCCCCACAAAGAAAAAAGTCTAAGAAAAATCTTTCTAATCTACAGATTTAAGTCGAGGCAAATCTGAAAAACAAAATGTAAGTGGTATTAGCCTGTGATTCACCTTTCGTTTTCATGGCACCTCAAATTAATGGCTTGGGTGTTGGTGTAGGCAACACTTGGCCTGTGTGTTGAGGTAGTCACTAGACAGAAATTCTGGGCACAAGATTTGTTTAGTAATTGGGCACATATTCTGCAGATTAAGTCATAAAGTTTTTGAGGTATTATTTTACAAATAAACAAATTCACTGCTCTCCCTAATTTTACAAATAAGAAAGCTCAGAGAAGTTAAATGACTAACTTGACCCTAGTTACAAACTACTGACATAGCATCTTGCCTCCTGGCTAGTGTTTTCCATAATGCATTGATTTTTAAAAGCAGGGTTAATCACACTCCATTGAGCTTGATTACAAACCATGGGCCAAGCACTGAAATGATTTTTCCTTCTTTGTCTAGCTTCCAGAGGTGCTGTGATAGGATTTACCAGTAAGGCTGCTCTATACAGGCCTGTGCTGGTCATGTTTCTTGGAGCTTGGCAACTAAGACGTCACTTCTAATAACACACAGGCCAACATCACCTGCAACAGTTGGCATTACTGATTTTCAGCAAGAAGGGCCAGTTCCTTCACAACCCACAGGTCACTGAGTGTCCTTTCTCAAGTAGTACAGGTATTAAAGTACCTTTGGTGGGACAGCTGTGCAGGTGCTGCCTCTGAATGAGTGTTGAGGAAGCACGCCTAGAACCTCACACAGAGCTGTGGTTGGTAACTGAACACTTTTTAAAATCCCATGGGGATGGAGAAGACATGTATGGGGTAGCAGCACATACTTTTTGTTTTGCAGTGTTAGGGATGGAACCCAGGGCCTGTGCATGCTAGGCAAGCACTCAACTACCAAGCTACATCCCCAAGTCCCAGGAAATACCTCTTAATTATCACTCAGCATATGGCAGTACTTCAGATTTCATGTTATGACCCAAATTCACAGTTAGATGAGGTCAGTGGAGGAAAAATCACCCAGTAACAGGAGACCAATAGGCATAGAAATAGTTGGAGAACAACCGAAAAAGGACAAGAAAAGGTTGCCTCATGACATTTTACAAGCTTTCATTTACTCCAGTAGTCAAGGTAGTCTGGGATCTTTTCTTCATTGGGTCAAGTGGCCAAACAGGGTTGCAGATGTCAAAGACAATGAATCACTCTTCACTAAGCAAAAGGTATTTAGAACATGCTGACTTTTTACCACAAATGACTACAATTCTGCTTGACAGAGATGGTTTCTTGAATGTCTGCGATTCCACTGTAAAGAAAGGATTTTGAAGTGTTGTCCTTACTTAAAAGAGAATAAGTTGACCGAAGAAATTGTTGCAAATTCTACTAAAACAAAATTCTTGTCTATATAGCTGGTTGATACCTGGGAAGGTTATAAATCTCCAGCTCTGGATTCCAGAAAACTTTAATCTATTCTCAAAATGCTTTTTCAAAACCACAATTATAGAACACATAATAAAACAAAACAAAAAGAAGCCTTGCAGGTAATGTGTGAGTGCTACTTGTTATACTTTTTGAAAGAAATACTGGCCACATTGGAAAGTCTTTAAAATCTGCATTTGGAAAATGACCAAAAAAAATTATATAATCTACATAATTCTCACACTGTTCATCACAGTTAACAATTCACTATCTTTATCTTTAGCAAAGAAAAACAAAAAAAGCCAGAAACTGCTCACTGCAGACTTGACAATACTGTATTCTATAATCGAAGTTCCATTATACTTCTACAAAATGATATAATATATAGTCAAATTCCTTAGGCAAATTTGAAAAGATATCAAATTCCATATGATGTCTGGAATTCCAAATATTTGGAGTAACATGTTTGACATATTTTGTTAATAAAATGAGAAATTTAAAGTAAACCAATTAAAATTTGTTAAAGAGATAAATATTATTATGTCAGTATTTGATTAAATATAATATAGAAAACTGTGATTCTTTCACTGCATTTCACCAAAGGTTTGATATTCACTGAACCAATTACAACACTGGGCACTATGGATTATTTACAAATGTGTTAAAACTTATAAATGATGAGAAAAACTTTAACAAAACTCTGGATTCAAAAATTTAAATTGTGCTACATAGTAGAACGTATCCCAAAATTTCTGATAAAAATTTTTGCTTACTTTATAAGATATAATTCAGGAAGACCTCAAAGAAAAAATGTAGCAAGTAAGTTTGGAAAAGCTATAAAAGAGCCTTTTACTTTTCAAATGGCATTTTTGTCCTTTCCTAAAATGTATATTATTTAAGAAGCATGTTTATAAATTTCACTAAAGAAAATATTGTCTTCTTAGTAAAGTGATAGATCCACTCCATGAAGTGGCTCTCTTATAAAGGTAGGGTCGTATCACATTGTAGTCAGCTACAAAACCAAGGATAGCAAAATTCAAATTTAGAGAAACACGCTTTCTAAAGGAAGTCTATTTAAAGACTATAACATTTACAAGGATCTCACTGCCACAAAACATTTTACAAAAATATAGTTTATAGGTTTCATGAAATGTGAACAAGCCTACTATTCTCTAACATTTCGTGTAAATGATTGAACAGTCAATGCAAAGTTGAATTACTAAATATATTGGAAGCCTAGGAGTCAATATTCTTCATAAAAATAAGTTAGAGTACATCATGGTCTTGGTTGTCCAATTCTATTGTTATTTCCATATCTACTTGGTATATTTGTAAAACCAGTCCTGAATCCTTGGGTGGCTCCCATTCCTGGAACTCCAAGTCCTTGATTAAGCATACTGCTATAGGGTGTGTGTCCATGATTAAGACCCAAACCATAGGGCCTTGTTTGTGTGTTTAGAAGAATAACAGGACTCACATTTTTTCCAGGGGTATTAAACGAAAATTCTGGAGGTGGACTACTATGTTTAGCTGGAGTTGATGTGACAGGGTTCGAATCATCAGTACTCTTTAAGAGAGGCATTGGAATTATGTGATGGTCTGAAAAGTTTAGGACATTGGCTGCAACAGTCCCAGACAGTAAGGCAGGCCTGATCCAATCATCCTTGAAAATTTGAACAGTCAGAGTAGATACAAGAGTATACAGCCTGTTGGTGACATGAGCAAGAACCATTTGTTCATTTGCATCTCGTCGAATTCTTACATGCACTGATCCAGCCTAAAAGGGGCAAAATCATAAGAGAACACTTAGAATTATATTATTGAAAATTCCATTAGAAATAAACAATTTACTTATGATTTGGTCAGTTCTTGGAAAATTCTTTAAAATAAGAGAAAGCATAATGTCTTGCTATTTCTGGAAGACTACTTACTGATAATTATTATGTAAAAGTTGAAGAAATAATTTCTGACTATTTAAAATATAAAAAATTCAGTTAAGACAAAGATAGGTATAAGTTAAGACACATGGCAGAAAAAAATAAAGTATATGAAAACATGGTGTATGGGAACAACAGGTAAGTATTAATTCCAACTGGAGAAGACTTCGAAAGAAGACTGCATTTGACCTAGGGATGATTAAATGGAATTTCAAAAAGTGGAGAAAGGAATTTGGTGCTGAGGGAAGAGCAATTAAAATACATGGCATACCTATTAAGAATAAGCAATATTGTAATTTATACTAATATATAAAGAAGTACAAACATTTTGAGGGGCAGAAGAAGGAACGATAAGAAGAAAGAGAAGGGGCTGGGGCTGCAGCTCAGTGGCAGAGCACTTGCCCAGCATGTGAGGCAATGGGTTCAATCCTTAGCATCACATAAAAATAAACAAATAAGATAAAGGCATTCTGTCCATCTACAAATATAAAACATTTTTTAAAAAAAGAAGAAAAGAGAAGGAGGGGGGAAGATATGTAGGCAATACATTAAAAAGTTAGGCTAATACATGGCTCTAAAAATGATAAAGAAGTTCTGATTTAATAGCATTCAAATAGAAGTGAAATAATCTGAGTTTGGAAAAAATGCAGGTATGGACGACTGGTAACCAGGTAGGAAATGAGTGAAACAGTCTAGGTTTGAAATGAGGAGAGCTGAGCTACAACAAAAATAGTGGGATCAGAGAGGAACAGATGGATTAGTCACACTCCAGAGGTAGAAGTGAGAAGACCTGATACCACCTGGTACTAATAGATGAAGGAGATGGACTCATCTGAGATGATCTCAAGGTTTCTATCCTAGATACTAGAAGGATAGAGAGCCATAGGCATTACATTTATTAACATGAAAAGGTGTTTATCACGCATTATATTTTTCAAGTAAATAATAAAATGTAGGTATAACAATGATCTTATTTTGGTTAAAACACATGACAAACAGAAAAATATCAAGAAAAGCAATTATCTCTATATGGCAAAATTATTAAGGATTTCTATTCTTTGTGACTTACAAGTTACAAGTTTTTAGTTTTCTAATAGCTATTATTTGCCAAATAAAAATATGTAATGAATAAAATTAAATAAAATGTCCAGCAAACATGCTTTGTTGATTTGTAGATAAAGTCAGCTTTAAAGTAATTTTTAAAGTTATTACAAAACATAAACTGTACATAATTAGCATCTAATTACAATGTGTGTGAATCTATGACTTGAAACATTAATTATAGAATACTAATAAAAAAGCTATTGTCAACCATAACATAAAAAAAACCTTATATTCCTTTAACATGACTTGTAGTTAATTACTTTTAAGTAAGACAGGCTATGTATATAAATCAAGTCATCTTTGCGCTGGGGTTGTGCTCAGCAGTAGAGCACTCACCTCACATGTGCAAGACCCTGGGTTCAATCCTCAATACCACATAAAATAAATAAGTGAAATAAAGATATTGTGTCCAACTACAACTAAAAAATAAATATTAAAAAAATAAATCAAGTCATCTTTAATTCTCTCTTTTCTTTGACACTATCATTTTGTGGTTTGACATGGAATGCAAAGTAATCAAAACAAATGAAAAACCATTCCAGGATAWGAGCTTGAACAGTTTCCTATGAGTTTGTTACATGTGTTAATATAAGGTTTTTGTTACATGCATTTTAGGCAGCTTAAAAGCCTGTTAATTTCCTGGGTCTTACTGAGGGACTATGTAGGTAGGTATGGTTTCTAGATAATAAAATTCTGAATAGTTTAGATGACTATATTCTTTGTGTTCATAAGCCATCCAGCTTAAGAAACATTTGTCTACTTATTTATTAATATGGTCAGTATAATTAAAAGAATGGTTAAAAATGAGCTGCAGAACTGGAGGAATATAAGTTGGTAGAAGGCATTTTGCACCAAAAAACAAAAAACGTGATTATTTTCTTACAAAAATCACTTCTAAAAATTAATCTTAAGGAATAATAACAGATATGTGTAAAGATCATTCCACCAAATGTTCATCCCATCCTGTTTAGGAAAAAATAGAAAACCATCTAAATGTCCATTTGGGGATTGATATAATAAAATATGGCATATGTATATAATGTAAAATTGCAACTACTAAAAATTATGTTGGGATTCTTGGAAGATGGCAGTGGTTTTTGAAATCCCCAAATATCCTTGCAAAAATAGAAAAGCTAAGACAACAAAACTGAAAATCTATGAACAACATTGATCAAAACAACTTAAGGGCTGGGAGCTAGGGTTGTAGCTTAGTGGTTGAGTGCTTGCCTTGCATGCATGAGGCACTGGGTTTGATCCTCGGTGCCACTAAATAAATAAATAAATRAATGAATAAGATATTGTGTCCATCACAACTAAAAAAAAATGTTTAAAAAAACAAACAAAAAWTTAAGGGCTGTGGTTGGCTTGGCAGTAAAAGCATTGCCTAGCATGTGTGAGGCAATGAGTCTGATCCTCTGCACCATAAAAAACAAACAAACAAATAAATAAATGTGTTTGTGTTCATTTACAACTAAAAAGAAAACAAAAGCAAAACCAAAAAAACTACCAAACTTAATAACATTGGTACCCCTATGAAGTTACAAATATAATCGGTAAAACCTGCAAGGCATCAGAATCTGTGCAGGAGGAACAAAAGGAAGTAACAGGACACCTGACTGACCTAAAAACCCAGAAGCAGCTAAATGGCACTTAACAGAAATCTAGGACAGTCAATCTGAGAAAGGTAGCTGAAACCAGGAGGGGCTTCCCACWTCTCAATCCTGGGTGAGTTCACTGGCTCTGCCATAAGTCTGAAGAGCTGTAGGAGCCTGAGCCCTGTGAGCTCTCAAGTAGCCATGCAAAGCTCCCTTCTAGGACAAAGCCCAACAATAAGTAGAAACAACTGGGAAGAGAATCCAATTGAGTAGCCCAGCAGAGACAAAGGATAAAGGAGATTCAGAAGTAGAAGAGTTAGGAGGAAAAACTCAACAAAACAAAAACGTTCACTTTATAAAATCATCAAAAAAGGGAGCTCAAACTCATGATTTTATATGAACTATTAAACCAGTCCTAATTATAAAACACAGGAAAGCTAATTTCTCATAAAGATGGACAACAGAAAAGAATCAAGGTCAAAAATCACATAAAATTACTATAAGAAAAAAAATGTAAAAGAGATTATAAAAGATGATCAGAAAGACATTAGTATGAGGGCTAGGGTTGCGACTCAGTGGTAGAGTGCTTGCCTAGTATGTGTGAGGAGGCACTGGGTTCAATCCTCAGCACAACATGAAAAATAAATAAAATGAAGTGTGTATACACACACACACACACACACACACACACACACACATATATAAAATACGTAACTATGAATGAGGTAAAAACTATTACCTGCTTTTTCAAAATAAGTCAAAAGGCATGAAACAAGAACATGAATCAGAATTACAAAAATGTGGAAATGAGATGACAGCTAAAATACAAGGAAAAACAAAATCATTCCAGAAATGAAGATTAGTACTAGAACAAAATGAAAAAATAAGTAAGTATACCTTAAGAAAAAAAAGTCAAAAAGAAGAAAAATTTTTTAAATTGAAAAAAAATTAAAAGATGATAAGGATTTTGGAGAAAATAACAAATATGAAAGAAAGGCAAAGCCCCAACATGCATAGAACAGGAATTCTGGAAGAAAGAAACCAAAGCAAGAAAACAGAACACATATTAAGAACTATACTTAAAGAAAATATTGTTTAAAATTTTTTTGAAATAGCATTCATCAGAGGATACACTATACCTGAAATAACTGACACAGAATGAGCAATACCAAGATCGATCGATCTATCTATCTACCTACCTACCCACTGATCTATCTATCTGTTTTAGTTTTGAGGATGGAACCTAGGCATGTTAAGCACAAGCTCTACCACTGAGCAATACTCCTAGACCCTTTAAAGAAAAAAAGCTGGGGGACATCCAGGCAAAAAGATAGTCACCTATACAAGGAAAAACAAAGACTGTCATTTGGATTTGTCCAGCAGTGCTTTATGCCAGAGGTAGATGAGGTAATGTATTTAAGAAACTCAAGAAAACAAACTCCACTAGTGATTTTATATCCAACCAACTGATTTTCAAGTATAGTGTCTACAAACTTTTCAACATTTAAAAATATTGCTCTCATTAGCCCTTTCTGAAGAGTTTATCAGAGAATAAGTTTTAGATATCTGAAGTGACTAGAGAGGGGAAGAGTGGGTAGAGGCAGAGGTGACGCAGCTATTTTTCCACTGAGTGCATAAATCTGACACTAAAGATTACAAATTTGGTTGATAATCTGAATTGTTGGACCAGCTCTGATCTGCCCACTTCTGGAATTTATGTCATGTTAGAAAAATAAAACCCACTTTGCTTTTTTAAAAATTATACTGTAGAAGAGTATTTAAGGACATAGAAAACTTTATGATGTAATAAGTAGGCTGAAGGAAATCTGGACCCCCTCCTACTGTCTCCCCACACTATAAGGAAAAGCCTGCGTAAGAATTTTAGCTGTCTTGCTCCAGTACTAAATCCCAGTCTCCTAAATATTGGCAGGCAACAYAAAGTTTGTGGATGTAAATAACCAGGTTTCAGGGTTTTAAAGATACCTTTTTTAAAAAAATTTTTTTTTGTAGTTGGACACAATAACTTTATTTTATTTATTTATTTATTTTATGTGGTGCTGAGGATTGAACCCAGGGCCTTGCACGTGTGAGGCGAGTGCTCTACCGCTGAGCCACAACTCCAGCCCCTTAAAGATATCTTAATAAAAATCCTACCAAAAAAATAGTGAAAAGGGCAAATTATAAAACAGAATGGTCTCATTTGCTAAGGAGAACCAGTTTAACTATAAACACCAAAATTTCAACAGCAGTTTTCTCTACATAATAGGGTGATTTAAATTTTAGGGGGAGGATATGTTTTTGTATTTTTCTGGTCATCCTGACACAGGAATGAAACCATGCCATAATAAAATTTCTCTGGTATTGAGGTCCAAACTGGATTAGAAAATATGGAATTTTAGCTGGGCATAGTGGTGCCTGCTGTTATCTCAGCTACTTGGGAGGCTGAGACAGGTAGATTCCAAGTTCAAGGCCAGCCTGAACCACTTATTGAGATCCTGTCTCAAAAAAAAAAAAAAAAAAAGTCGTTGAGGGTGGGGTAGGGTGGTAACTGGAGATGTAGCTCAGTGATTGAGGGGTTGAGCCTGGGTTCAAAAAGACAAAAGGAAGTATGGACTTTTATGATGAAGCAAGTTGTGTTACTGCAACTCTTTAACATGCTCAGCAAAATCTACAGAATTAGAACTATGGTTAAAAAGACATAATTGTATTTTTTACTTTTGCAACATTCTTATATTAAGGAAACACTGACTATGGACTTGTCTTTTCTGGACAGTCCAGTATTAAGATCAGCAGTAGTTTGAAGGTTAAAAAAATAAATTAATTAATTAATCTCAGGTAGGTAACTGAATCCAAATTTGGATTTGAAATGGAAATCAAAAGCCCTATAAAAATTCTAAAAAAAAACCTTTTTCAGTTTTAGAAATTAAAAACTATGTTTTAAATTATATTTTAAGTAATAAGTAGAAAACATACCAATGAACCAAATCCTAGGGTCCAAAAATGTTCATTTCGGACTTCTAAAACTCCATCCAAGGTAGAAACCTAATCAAAACCAGAAATAGATTATGAGAGTTATCTGCATTTGACATATGAAACACATTTCAGTCGCATTATGGACTTAATCTAAACTTAGAATATTATGGTGAGCCCTGCACAAGGTCACTCAGCCAACAGAAGTACTAAGCCACCCAAGACACCTTTTTTTTTGCACCAGGAATTGAACCCAGGAACACTTAACCACTGAGCCATATTCCAAGCTCTTTTTTATATTTGATTTTGAGAATATAATTTTCTCACTAAGTTGCTTAGGGCCTCACTAAGTTATTGAGGCTGGCTTTGAACTCAGAACCCTTCTGCCTTAGCCTCCCAAGTTACTGAGATCACAGGCATGCACCACTGTACCCAGTAAGACACCATTCTTTTTTTTTTTTGGTACAGGGGATTGAACTCAGCAGCACTTAACCACTGAGCCACATCCCCAGCCCAATTTTGTATTTTATTTAAAGACAGGGTTTCATTGAGTTGCTTAGCATCTCACTTTAGCTGAGGCTGGCTTTGAACTTAGGATCTTCTGCCTCAGCCTCCGGAGCCGCTGAGATTACAGGTGTACACCACCTCGCCCGGCAAGATAAACATTCTTGATTGCACAGTACTGCCCCAATCCTTCTAGAGTCAAATCATGACTACTAAGTCTTATTCTCCCCTCACTTCAATAGCATATGCTTCTTTTAATTATACCTACATGGCACATATTTATATTTAGCATTTGTGTATTAGTTTTTTTTGATCTTCTCAATCATTCCTTCCCTGGATTTCCTTATAACAAATCTCCATACAACACAAAATATTATTTGAATGTAGGCTGTCAGGAAATTCCTGGGCCAGACATAAAATGTGTGGCTTATAAGTACAGTAGCACAGAAGGCATATCCAGTGTCAATTTCATAAGCTGAGACATGGACAGCTATGTTAGAAGAAGTGACCTTTGTGATACCAACAACCAGGAGTTTAGAATAGTACCAAGATAATTCACCTATCTTATGTCTTTATTAGGAAGCAGGCTGAAATTTATAACAATAGAAAGTCTAAAGTCTAGATCAAGATGTCAGGTGAAGTAATTAACAGATAAAAGTAGACTCTATGTTTATAAAATTCTAGATTTGAATAAAGAGTCAGAAAAAAATCACAGCATTTATAAAATTAATCAGGTGGTCTTTAGATCATTACCTTCCACACTTATTTAAAGTGAATTTGTCTTCCATACTGAGCAACTCCTCAATTTATTTTCCATTTTTGCTACTATGTTCTGACTCTGTTACTACAAAGAACACAAACTCTCCTAGAGTAAGATTTTAGGTAGGTTTCAATAAAATATTGTATGCACCCACCCTTTCAATTCCTAACATAAATTAAAATGATTTTATTTATCATTCAATCTTACCTCTCTGATAAGTTTATCCAACTGACCAATAACATGGGGTGGTGTTGTCTGGGGGAAAAAATAAAATATGAATAGCCTATGGAGAAAAATAATTTTGTAACCATGGTCCTGAAATCCCTCCATTTGGATTTTTTAAAACTCAATTAGCATATCCATCACCTCATAGCTTTTTTTTAAATCTTATTTTGATATCTTTATTTATTTTTATGTGGTGCTGAGGATGGAACCCAGTGCCTCACACATGCTAGGCAAGCGCTCTGCCACTGAGCTACAGCCCCAGCCCCCTCCATATGAATTTTAAACCCATCTTTGGTTTTCACATGTGCCCTATCGTGATTTTAAAAAGTAAGGTTTCAACTGGCTCACTAATAGAACAACATCACTAATTGGTCCATACTCATAATGTTATCTCACAAAGAAGAGAAGCTGCTATTGCTAGAACCAAATAAAGCTCAAAGAACCAACCAAGCAATAAAAAGTCTTCAAGAAATGGTTTGAAAAGTAACATTTCGTAAGTGCATAGGACTCTGCAATTCTTCTTCGTCTTTTTTTTTTTTTTTTTTTTTGGCACTGGGAATTGAACCCAAGGGCATTTTATCACTGATCTATATTCCCTGCCCTTTTTATTTATTTTGAGACAGTGTCTCACTAAGTTGCTTAGGGCCTTGTTAAGTTGCTGAAGCTGGCCTTGGACCTGAAATCTTTCTGCATGAGTCACTGATATTATAGGTGTGCACCAGCATGCCTGGCTTAACGTTAAAATTGTGATCTTCTTGCCTAGGCTCTCAATTTGCTAGGGTACAGCTGTGTCTGGCTTATCCTATTGTTATTACTGCTTATAGAGATGGAGTGACTGCCCATAAATTTAAAAAGAAAAAGACATGAAGGTAAGAGACAGAAGGAAGAGCATTGCTTACATACCTATCTAGCCCTAAGAAACTGTTCACCTTTCTAGTTTGGGTCTTGTTTAATGTGTTTCTACTGTTTTAAAAAGTAGAAATTCATCATATTTACATCTGAAATTTATTTACATCTCAATGATCCAAAGACAGGAAATAAGAAAAAAAATCATAACCAGATTATATAACAGCTAAGACCTATTTACTGAGGGAAAAAAGATAATCCCCAATTTTTTTTTTTTTTTTTTAGGAAACATTACCCAAGGTAAATAATTTTAAGTTCATGATTGCATGTCACAGAAGCACAGGAGGATTTTCACCTACTTTATGGACTGATGAAACCCACCTGGTTCTTACTATATGGATTTCAGAAAGTATTGTTTGACTTAATTGCTAACAGAGCCCTCTAGTTAATAAAATTTTCATAATAAATCATTTTTTTCCTATAAAATTTTTAGCAACCAGAGTTTCAATTGGTAGAACATGGGTAAACATGCATATTCCAAAAACCTTACCTGGAGTAGCACTTTTCCACTGTACACGCTCATGGGATACATGGTACCAAATGTCATCAGGGCAATGGCTATTGCAGACGCGGTGTCCACAGCAAAGTAATTACTGAAAAGAAAAAAAATTCCAAATCTTAAATGTATGCTTCACTAGGCATCTCACAATTCAATCTACTGACCACTAATTATTTAAGGCAAGAGAATGTTTCTTATCACAAATGGCCCCTACTGACAAAGGAGCACCTTAAAGGAGAAAAAAAGTTTCTATCTAGAGTCCCTTCCTGTTAAATTACAGCAGAAAAACAACTAATAATTGTGCTAATTCATGCAGAGAAAGGATAAGAAAAAATGTAAGCATTTACTCACTACATATATTTCAATCTACTTGTCAACTAGAAAGATTTCAAATATATTTGCTTGAGATACACAAATAAAAAACTTCAACTAGTAATTTCTGATATAGAGAGACTAATGGAGTCCTCAATGATTCTATCAATTTTCCTGTAAACAATAATTGTTTTGATAAAAAATTTTCAAAATTTTCGGGAGTCTGTTATAGCAATGCTGTGGATAAAGAACAACATCTCATGAACAATTCAGACTTTGTTGAAATTCTATTAAGAAGACAAAACGAAATGTCAATGGTTACAAGATGGTCTTGTCCTTTTAACTTTTTGCTATATGCTGGGGCTAGAAACACAAATAAGGCATCTCCACCTTAGAAAGAGCAGGAATACACATATGAAAAACATGAAGTACTTTGTGTATTAAAATAAAAGTTTCTACATGGTGTCATGGATGTTCAAAGGAGTGAATGATGCAGCTACTGTGGTGGGGATGATCCAGAAAGTCTAATTATGAAAAAAGAGGTAAGTCTTCAAAGACAAGTAAAATAAGCAGGGGGGAAATATTCAAAACAGTAAAAGCAGCATTTAAAAGAGCATTAAAACCCTGATACAGCAATGAAACCACGAACAATGTGGTATAGGCACATGGGTGGCTAGATACGTTGGCAGGAGCTTGCCTGTATAGGACTCTATGCTAACAACTTAAAAAAAAAAAAAAAAAACTTGTGGTGGTGCTGGGGATGGAATCATACTCTACTATTGAGCTACATCCCCAGCCCTTTTTCCTCTTTTTATTTTGAGACAGGGTTCTSCTAAGTTACCCAGGCTGGCTTTTATGATCCTCCTACCTCATTCTCAGAGTTGTTGGGTTTATAGGTGTGTAGCACTGTTCCTGGTAACAACTTTGAATTTTTACCAATATACAAAGGAGAGGGGTTTAAGGTGGAAAAACACTATGTCTAGATTAGTAATTCTGAATAATCATGTTAGTAGTAAAATAGACAATAACAGGTGATGGATGAGAATTAAAATTAGAAGTCTAGAAGACTGTAACTTCATATCATGTACAATCACAAAAATGCAAAGTTATACTTCATGTATGTGTGATTTGTCAAAATACATTCTATTGTTACGTATAACTCAAAAGAACAAATTTAAAAAAAGAAGTTTAGAAGAGTATTCTAATTAAGTCAAGGTAATGATGACAAAGGCCTTAATTGGGTCAGGAATAGGAAAGAGAAGACAGTAAAAAATAAATAAAAGACTAAATAGGACTTGGATACCAATTAGAATTTATTTGTAGAGGAGGGAAAGGGGAGAAGGGAAGAAAAGCAGGTATTTGAGAATGCACTGGACTGGGTGAAGTGGTACATGCCTGTAATCCCAGCTACTTGGTAGGCTAAGGCAGGAGGATCACAAGTTTGAGGTTAGCCTTGGCAATTAAGCAAGACTCCGTCTCACAAAAAAATATAAAAAAATAAAAAGGGCAGAAGATGTACTGAGAATTCACCTAGTACCACAAAAAAACATAAAACAAACAAACAAACAAAATACCATGTGATCCAGCAATTCCATTTCTGAGTATATACTCCCAAGAATTCCTATGTTCATAGTGGCATTATTTATAGTAGCCAAAAAAAAAAAAATAGAAATAATCCAAATGTCCACTGATGGATGAATGAGGAAAAGAAAATGTGGTATGCACATCAAAATGTTATTCAGACTTAAAAGGGAGGAAATTCTGACACATGCTACAACATGAATGAACCTTAAAAACATTATACTGTGTAAAATATGCCATTTACAAAAAGACAAATACTGAATGATTCTATCTATATGAGGGAGGTAGTTAAGAGTAATCAAAATCAGAAACACAAACTAGAATGGTGGTTGCTAGGGACAGTGGGTAAGGGAAGACTGAAGTTATTGTTTAATGGACACACTTACAGTGAAGGGATGATGAAAAAGTTCTGCAGATGGACAGTTGTGATGACTGCAGAAAAATATGAATGTACTTAAAGCCAATGAACCATATATGTCAAAATAGTTACGCATTATGTTGTGCATCTTTTAACACAATTTTTAAAAAAGAATCTATTGGAATAGAAGATAATAGTATTCACTGAGGGTGGGAAATAAAAGAAAAAGCAGCTTCAGCAACAGGGGAAACCAGTGAGGCAGACATGAATAGAAGCCAGGAAGATAAGCCTACTGGACTTCAATAGAGATCTAGGCTAGAAATAAAGATCTTGAAATCCTTGGAGGTAATAAATAAAAACAAGTAATTGTAGATCAGCTTTAGGAGAGCAAAAAAACAAGAATAATACAATTCAGGAAAGATTCTAATAAACACCAATATTTAAAGGGCAAGAGAATCAAAGGATTATGTCAAAATGTTAAAAGAGCGGTAATATCTATTTCCTAAAAGGCTTTAAAAAAATTGCTTCACACCTACTTCCTCTTCTCCCTCTCTCAGCAATAGCAGCTGTAGCTTAGATCTCTCTTACTGTCCTCTTCTGTTCACTCATCAGGTCAGCAGTGGGGAATTTAAATCGTTTTCCAGTCTGCATTATAGATTGTTGTGAGAAATACTTATCAAGCCCAATTCCCTTAATTTTTCAGATGAAGACACTTGATGACAAGACTTGACCATAGTTACATAGGTCATTAGCAAAAATGCTAGAAACCTGACTCCAATCCATCCTGCAGATGCTCTTAAATGCCAGGCCCTAGGAATCTAAACACTTGATGGCAATAAAAAAATACTTACTTAATTTCAATTAGCATGTATGTAATACAAAGAGCAAATGCTCCAGCAAGATCAATCAAAACAAATGGATTCATTCGGGGAAGGAAGATACTGCTAAGTCCCGGAATAATTCCACACAAGCTATGAAAAAACAGAGTATTCATTAGCAAAATTCATATAATACTGATGAAAACCTTGCAAAAAATAACTTGTATTTTATGATATTTCTTCAGGGAGGGTACTGGGGTGCTTCAGCACTGAACTACATTACATCTCCAATCCTTTTTATTTTATTGAGACACAGTCTTACAAGGTTGCTGAGGGTTCTGCTAAGTTGCTAAGGCTGGCCTCAAACTTGTGATCCTCTGGCCTCACCCTCCTGAGTCCCTGGGAWAATAGGCATACACCACTGTACCCAGATTGATAACTTATATTTTAGTTCAAATAATATACCTCGTAAAGAAAACACAAAGGATTTGGAAACAAAACTTCTATATAATCAAATAAAAAGAAAAGGGAGAGGACTGGGGATGTGGCTCAAGCGGTATCAGGCTCGCCTGGCATGTGTGCGGCTCGGGTTCGATCCTCAGTACCACATACAAACAAAGATGTTGTGTCTGCCGAGAACTGGAGAATAAATGTTAAAAAATTCTCTCTCTTTCGCTCTCTCTCTCTCACTCTCTCTTTAAAAATAAAAAAGGGAGAATAAGAATCAAATATGTGAGATTCATGCTCTAATCTCAGCAATAAATAATGTTAAGTCCCCATGATAGATGTATTTCTTTTTTTAATATATATATTAATATTTAATATATATTAAATATTAATATTTAATATATATATATATATATTTTAGTTTTAGGTGGACACAATATCTTTATTTTACATTTATGACGTGCTGAGGATGGAACCTAGTGCCTCACACATGCTAGGCAAGCACTCTACCACTGAGCCACAACCCCAGCCCTGATAGATGCATTTCTTGTGAATATTTAAAAAATTATGGATATCATGAAACTTGATGCCATCTTACCTTCGACTAAGATCTGCAACATGCTCTTGAAGCCAACTTGTACTAGCAGCTTTAAGAAGAAAATACTTGTTATCTATATAGAAGAATAAACTGTTTCTAGAAATACTTTTTATCCTTTTAAAAGTAAGTTCAACAGTGACTGCATAAAATTACAAAAGAAAATCCTACTCCCYAAATTTATGGGAAACTGCATTTCCATCTAGTGAAAATAAAACATAGATTAACCTTTTTAGAAGTAAATTTGGTTATATGTATCAAAGCCTTTTAAAAAAATTATGAACTAGGGGTGTAGCTTAGTGATAGAGTGCTTGCGAGGCATGCACAAGGCCCRGAGTTCAATTTCCAGAACTGTTAAAAAATTTTTTATTTTTAATCTAGTTCAACTTCTTTGGGAATTTATCTTAAAGGAAAAAATAGAAATGCAGTCCAGGAATATGATATAGAAAGGTGATTACAGAATTATTTATAAAATGAAAATTAGGAGACAGAATACTATGCAAGTACTCAAATATCACTTGTTTAAAGAGTATTTAATGAGATTCTGAAGACATACTGTTCTGACATAGTTAAGCAATATTAAGATATAATTTTAATAAAAATGCCAGGCATAAAATTGCAAATGAGTACAATTCTAAGTATGCAAAATAACTGTATGTGTACAAAGAGAAAAAGTGAAAGGAATAAAATAGAAATGTTAACAGATGTTATCTCTGAATATGAAATTGTGTACAATACAGTTTCATAACACGAGGCTGTTTAAACGTGAATGGACATTTATTTTTTTATTATTATTTTTTTTAGTTGCCAATGGGCTTAGTTTATTTATATGTGGTACTGAGAATCAAACTCAATGCCTCACACATGCTAGCAAGTGCTCTACCACAGCCACAACCCTYGCTGCTTTCTTTTCTTGATTGTCCCATTGTTTAAGTTAGAAAGACCTAAAAAAACTCTTGTCTATATCTACTTCTGTATGCTTCAAAGTGTGGGTTTTTTTTTTTTTTTTTGGTCCCCAGTCCCTCTTATTTTGAGACAGGGTCTCACTAAGTTGCATAGGGCCTCAAAAAGTTGCTGAGGCTGGACTGGAACTTGTGATCCTCCTGTCTCAGCCTCCTGAGACCCTAGCATACAGGTGTATGCCAAAGCACTTTTTTCCCCCTCGTGCTGGGCATGGAACCCTGGATTTTGTGCATGTTAGACAAGTGCTCTACCACTGAGCTATACCTCCAGACCCACATATCTGCTTTCGTTTTGACCTCACTACATCACTTAGTGTTTAACACTACGGGTTAGTAGAATTTCAAAACTTGCAAAATTTTGAAAATTGCCAATAATTAGCACTACTAAAGTGAAAAACCAATCTGAACTTGTAAAAACTTCAAAATAAAATAATATTTCAAAAGAAATAATTCTGTGCTACTTTGAAATATATGTCAAAGGAAAATTCTTAGAACTTATTTCTTTAYAAAATACAATTGTTTCCAATTAGCAAACCAACTATTCTACGTATAATGCTTCCTAAAAAGGCATACAATAGATTTTTCTTAGGTAGATTAYACATCTAAAATCTCATAGTATTTGGTAAATGTAATTTTTCATCACATAACATTTAATACATACATCAGTTCTATTTTTAAATAATACTTTATTTTAAAGCTTAAGTTACTGAGGTTTTGTGTTTTTTTWAAATTTTTTTTTAGTTGTTGACGAACCTTTATCTTATTCATTTATTTATATGCGGTGCTGAGAATCAAACCCAGTACCTCACACATGTGAGGTGAGTGCTCTACCACTGATTCACAACCCCAGCCCAAGATTTTGTTTGATGATTGTCTGCTTGAAGAAGACTTGAGAACCTTTGAGGTAATTCTCCCTTYTCTTCAGAATATACTTTCTTGTTGATTTAAGAGTTAATGAAACAAAGAAAAGACCTGTTTTAATGAGAAATTATTTGGATTTTTAAAATTAATAGTAAATAAAAAACATACCTTCAGAGACATAAGCAAATGGTTTATTCCGAATAGAAAGCATGGTGAACAGGTTGAAAGAAAGAGCCACAAAAGTACCAACTAATAATCTTCCCCTAAAAAGAACAACAGTAACATATTCACCTTTATTTTTCTTGGAAATATTAATTTACAATTTCAGAGTGTAGAAAGACTAAGAGAAGGCAAGATAAGAATAGTCTGCTTCAGTGGTTTGGTATTTCTGGAGCCAAAATCTGAATATGCCTACATAATCCATGTCCTGTCTACTATCTTACCTAGGACATAAAAGGAATCAGAAGTAACAATATCTTTTTAAAATTTTTAAAATTTTTTTGGTACTGGGGATTGAATTCAGAGGCACTCGACCACTGAGCCACCATCACCAGCCCTATTTTGTATTTTATTTGGAGACAGGGTTTTACTGAGTTGCTTAGCACCTCACTGTTACTGAGGCTGGCTTTGAACTCTCAATCCTTCTGCCTCAGCCTCCCAAGCTGCTGGAATTACAGGYGTGTGCTACCATGCCTGGCCCAACAATATATTTTTAAAATATAATTAATATTTATATAAGTATTATAATTTATATAAATACTAATGGTATTTGGTTTACAATCAATGGACAAATCAAACATTTGAATTAATTGATCAGAATAAGTAAGGCCCATACAGTTGGCAACTATATAGGTGATTAAGTACAATATTTAGGTGGTCATATTTGAACTTACAGAAGACTAGAGAGAACCGGCTTAGTGTGCTGACTTGAATCTGTAAATAATAAAGGATTTGAAACCAAACAGACACACCTTCCTGCAGTATTAAAACATCTAGGGCTTGGGAAGAACAGGTCAAGGGTGAAAAGTAAGAGTCATGGGATTTTGTTTTTGAAATGCCTGTGAAAATGTATATTGTCACACTCTAAACTACTGATATTAGATAATGTAACTGTTATTGAATAATACATCATTGTAATGAAACTTAATAGTAGATTATATATATTATGTAAACAATGGAGTCTCACGTGTGGATCTCGGGCTGCTCCAAAAAGCGTTCTGCACTAAAAGAAAGAAAAATTTATTAAATAAGTCCTATAAATTATAGAACTAAAAAGCTATATTGAATATATAAGTAGTACACCTGAAAGTTCACAGAATCTTTTAGTAGTAGTAGTAGTAGTAGTAGTAACAGTAATAGTAGTAGTACCTAGGGGCATTTAACCACATCTCCAGCCCTTTTTTAAAAACAGTTTTTAAAATTTTGAATCATGTTTGTCTCAGGGCCTTGCTAAATTACTGAGGCTGGCTTTGAACTTGCAATCCTCCTGCCTCAGCCTCCCAAGTGACTGGGGATTACAGATGTGCACCACCGTGCCCAGCTTCACAATCTTTTAACATTATCATCAACTATTGTGAGCAGTGTTGTAGCACAGAGACTCACAAATTATCCTTAATATGTAATGTCAATCTTTCTCTACCAATCCTGATTCAATAGGTTTGTAATAAACATCAAGAAATGTTTGACTAAGGTGGGGTTGCGGCTCAGTGGTAGAATGGCTTGCCTAGCATGCATGAGACTGAGTTTCGTCCCAGCACCACATTAAAAAAAAAAAAGAAAAGAAAAAGAAAGAAGGAAATGTTTGACTAGCTGAGCATGGTGTTGCTTGGAAGACTGAGGCAGAAAGAGTGTGTGTTCAAAGCCACCCTCAGCAAAAGCAAGGAACTAAGCAACTGACCTTATCTCTAAAAAAAAAAAAAAAAAAGGGCTGGGGATGTGGCTCAGTGGTCAAGTGCCCCTGAGCTCAATCCCAAGTATCCCTTCCCCTCAAAAAAGAAATGTTTGACTGAATCTCTTTCTTTTATTAATCCTCGCCATGACTGAATTTAGTAACAATGAAGAAATACAGAAACTAAGTGAAAAACAATGGAAAAAAGTTTCAAAGAAGAAGAAATTGTAGTACTAAGCACTTCTAGCACTTCTTGTCTTAATTTGCATATCCTTCAAACTAAATGTGTCTCAATGGATTCTTTCATGTTCTCAAAGGTGACATAGGTAGGATTTAGAATAACATACAGCCAGCCCAGTGGTACATGCTTCAGGAGGCTGAAGCAGGAGGATTGCAAGTTCAAGGTCAGCCTCAACAACTTTGTGAGACCCTGTCTTAAAAATAAAAAACTAGGAGTACAGTTTGGTGGTAGAGTGCCCCTGGGTTCAATCCTAAGTACCAGGAAAAAAAGTAACATATTATACAAATGTACCTTTCTTTTAAAATAAAGAGGGCTCCCAACTGTGCCAAGACTGTGGAGGCAAATACAGCAAGGACTTCTAATCTTTCAAACCTGAAATCAGAAAATTAAAATTTTCAACTCACAAACCAGTTTATGTAGAACACATTTATACTAATTTATACACTCATTAATATACATATGTGCAGTCTCTTATTAGTCAGACAATGTTAGAACAGAAGGATAACAAACAATGAAAATTACATATAAACATTTAAAAAGAATACAACATATATTATCAGGACCCACTTATAGCCCTTATTTTTCTAGAAATAACCACTATTATAATAATAGCCAACACTCAATTGACCTATCTTATGTTAGACTTTGTCAGTGTCTAACCTATTTCTTCACCTAAACTTATAAGTAATTATGAGAATTACTCTACCCCCTTCTTCTTTTCCTGAAAATATAGGAGCTTGGAACTTAAAAGGGAAAGTAACTGTTCAAAGTTATATACTTAGCAAGTGGAATAATAAGATTTTCAAACTCAGGCACTCTGCTTTCAGAGTTCATGATTTTAAGTATCTCTCATTTTTATACATAATTATAATCCACTATAAATATTATATATATATAATATCCCTGGACTATAAATTGGAGGTCAGGGGTGATTGTTTTATTCATCTTAATTCTTCCACAACACAAAGATTAATCATACCCAATAATTGTGGTAAGTAAATGCTTAAGATTTCTTAAGGAAATAATCATGGAGGTTCATAAAAGAATAATATAATTAAGGATCTTCATTATGTTGCTGTCTGTAAGGGGAAAATGTTGGAATCAACAATATAACAGTATACATTATTAAAAACATAACAGAGCTTGGGACTGGGGTTATAGCTCAGCATTAGAGTGCTTGCCTTGCACACGTGAGGCACTGGGTTCAATCCTCAGCACCACATAAAAAAATAAATAAAGTTATCGCATCCATTTTTTAAAAAATATTTTTTAGTTGTACATGGACGTAGCATCTTTATTTTGTTGATTTGCTTTTATGTGGTCCTGGGGATCTAACTCAGTGCCTCATACGTGGGAGGCCAGTGCTTTACCGCTGAGCCACACCCCAGCCACCTATTGCATCCATCTTTTAACAAAATCTTAAAAAAAAAAAAATAACAGAGCATGGCACAGTGGCACATGCCTGTAATTACAGTGACTCATGAAGCTGAGGCAGGAGAAACCCAAGTTCGAGGCCAGCCTCAGCAACTGARTGAGACTCTCGGCATCTTGGTGAGACCCTGTCTCAAAATAAAGAATGAAAAGGGCTTGGGATGTAGCTCAGTGATAAGGCTCCCCTAGGTTCAATGTCCAGTGCCTGAAGAAAAAATAAAACAAAACAAAACAAAACAAAACTCAGAAGTGTGTTTATTGACATGGTCAGGTAAAAGTGAAAAAAGTAGGTTATAAAAAAATACAAAAATAAGTAAATGCAACAATGTTATGTGCAAAGATTGATAAGCTGATGTTAAAATGCATATCCTTCAAACTAAATGTGTCTCAATGGATTCTTTCATGTTCTCAAAGGTGACATCACCATTTTAATATCAAGAGAGACACAATCTTGAAGAACAAAATTACATGATGTATACTACCACATATCAAGACCTACTTTAAAGTTATAGAATTAACATAGTGTGGGAAAGAGAATCCAGAAATAGACCCATACATATACAGTCAACTGATTTTTGAAAAAGAAGCACACAGAAGTAGAGCAAAGGTGTTTTCCTTTATTAAATAGTGATGCATCAATTGAATATCTATATAAAAACAAACATGCCTTGACCCCTACCTCATAGCATACTCAAAAATCAACTCCAGTTAGACTATAAGCTTAAATATGACAGGTCAAACAATAAGACTTCTCTGGCTAGGGTTGTGGCTTAGTGGCAGAATGCTTGCCTAGCAATGTGTGAAGCACTGGGTTTGATTCTAAGCACTGCATATTAGTAAATAAAATGAAGGTGTACTGATAACTAAAAAAAAAAAAAATACTGAAAACAACAACAACAATAAGACTTCTCTACCTGATAGCAGAGCAGAGTATCTTTGACCTTGAGGAAGGTCAGGATTTCTGAACAGGTACATGAAATGTACTAAGCACAAAAGAAAAGAAAAAAACCGACAAATTGAACTCATCATTGAGATTTTTTTTAATGTTTCTTTTTTTTAAAGGGAGAGTGAGAGAGGAGAGAGAGAGAGAGAGAGAGA